TGTATGTATGTATGTATGTATGTATGTCTGTATGTATGTCTGTCTGTCTGTATGTATGTATGTATGTATGTATGTATGTATGCAATGTAATGTAATGTAATGTAATGTAATGTAATGTAATGTAATGTGATGTAATGTATGGACGCTGTCACATGTAAGTCTCCTCAGCTTCCTCTTGGACGACCTCACCCTCCGTCACCGGCAAGATGTGCATGAGAAAGCCCTCGTGCCTGAGACTTCATGTGGTTTCAGGGTTTAGGGCTCAAGCCTCAAGAACCAGGGCTTAGGGTTTAGGGTTTCGGGTTTAGGTCTCTGGGTGTCAGGCTTTATAGTATCGGCTTGAAGATCACCTACCGGCTTGTTAGGGCCTGTGTTCTCTGATTAGGGTTGAGGGTGTACAGGTTCTTGATTTGGGGGGCCCTTCTGGCTGATGCCTGGGGTTTACATGATTTTTGGGTCTAGTTTTGATTAGGGCTTAGGGTTTATAAGGTTTTCTTTAAAAGTTTAGGGTTTCGGCGGTTCGAGGAGTATGCTACGTTGGGCTACTTGCACTGCGCACTTTCAAGCACAAAACGCGAAGACCGGTAACACTATTATCGAATTCCTGTGTAGTGCCTCTAAAACTGAAGTACCCTATTCTAATTACTGAGCTCCTGAATTACATTAAGATCCTATGAACCCCGTATAGTAAACCTTAGAGAACCCTCATGAAGGAACCCCAACCCCTTTCTAATCATAAAGGTCCCTCTGATAAGCCCGCACTACCGAAATCTGTCAAACTCCTAAGCAAGCGCTTGGCTTACGACATGAACACCCACTGCCACAACTACCTATCTGCACGAACGATCGATATGTTAGTGCTTATTCGGGTTTTTGTGAGCTTGGGGCCGACAGTTTAGGGTTTGGGGTGAAGAGTCTGTTATCATGCGCTAGACTACCCGCAAAACCCAGAGAGCCCAATACCCCTTAGTCAAGGAGCATAGATTAGAATCATAGCATTCTGCCCCTCATAATTTAAGGTATATTCCTTAATCAAGGAACCCTAAACCCTAAACCCCAAACTCTAAACCCTAAACCCTTAACCCTGAACTGGCTCTCTGGGAACCTACCGCTTCGACCCTGCTCATCATGCTTAGAGGCTCGCCAGCAGTCCCGGGAGCAAGGCTTTGTAATACAAAAATCGAAAATCCATGATACTGTTGATGATATAAATCCTGCATTACCTAAGGACCCTAAACTATGGAAATTATGGTATATTCCTCATTATGAGTAATGTAGAATTCATATCATCAACCGTTGTACGAGATGGCACGTAAGGGGGTTTAGGGATGTAGAGTTCGCTAACAAAACGAAAAGAGTAGTTGCAATCATCATTACCTTCACGGTGCTGGCAACACGTTTACCTAAAACTTCAGGAGTAAAAGCAACCGATGCTGTAAGAGCATAAAGGAACAACATGCTCCTACGATAAAAGCATACACAGCAATACTAGCAATAGAAATAGACCAAGCTTCACCCAGACAGCCCAATACCCCTTACTTAAGGAATATACCTTGAAATTTAAGGCATATTCCTGTCTTGCGGGGTTTTGGGCTCTCTGGGCATAGGATGACGAATATTGGGGGGTCCGGGGCTCACTTCAGAGTTTCGAGTGGAATCCCCATTTTGAGTTTAGGGTTTAGGGTTGAGGTCCATTTCGCATCGGCGCAGTGCGCAGACAAACCAATTGTGTAGGGTTGGGGTGCTAGGGCCTGGGCGTAAGATTTCTAGCGACCCGAATTTCCGTCTCCTCCCTTAAGGAGGACTCTCAACAGCCCTTGCAGACGCAGGACTATGACTATGATTGGAGAGTGGGGCTCCTAACAATCCGAAATCCCTACGCCCTGAACCCTAGCAGCTCGGCCCATTTGAGACTCCTTGCTCTGAATCCTGAACCCTACAGCTCGGACCCCGCCCAAGAACCCCACAGCTCGGACCCCCCTGAGTGTTAGCACTGCTTCTTGGCTCCCAAAAGCCGCAGGTACTGACCTTGGGTGGGCTTTAGGCTACTGCTACTACTACGACCACTGCAACCACTACCACTACTACTACCACTACTTGTACTTCTACTTCTATTTCTTCTACTTCTACTTCTACTTCTACTTCTACTTCTACTTCTACTTCTACTTCTACTTCTACTTCTACTTCTACTTCTACTTCTACTTCTTCTTCTACTACTACTACTACTACTGCGACTTCTACCACTACAACAACAACAAAAACTACTACTACTACTACTACTACTACTACTACTACTACTACTAGGGGATTAGTATATATTTGACGCCATGCTGCTCCTGCTTTTAGGACTTCCACGACTTTGACTCATGGCCTGGATATGCTGGTATTTACGGCATTTCCGTGTTTATACGTCTTTATCTCTTTAAACAAGGACCATGCAGACCCGAGCGCCTTAACGACCTAAAATACAATCACAATCATCATACTCATCAACATCATCATACTCATCAACATCATCATTGACCTGGGGTGGGGGGGTGGGGGGGCGGGGTGGGGGGGGCTAATCGCGAGCATGTTCAACAACATCATCATACTCATCAACATCATCATCATCATAACAGTAGCACTCAATATCATCATACTCATCACCATCATCATCATAACAGTAACATTCAAATCACGTTCATCGTCGCCATCAACATCATCATCACAATGATACACAATATCATCATACTCATCATCATCATCATCATAACAACATACTGGATAAAAATCATTCTCATCACCATCATCAGCATCATCACCATTATTACAGTGATACACAATATCATCAGACTCCATCATCACCATCATTACAGTGATACACAATATCATCAGACTCCATCATCACCATCATTACAGTGATACACAATATCATCATCATCATCATCATCATCATCATCATCTTTGTGATACACAGTATCATCATTGTACTCATCAACATTGCTCTCCCTGTGTTTCAGCAGCCACCTGTCTTCCAGCCAGTCCAAGCTCTTCAAAACTTCGTCATTGTCTGCCACGTCCAAAGGCAAAACGAATGTCTTGTGCATTAGCACGGATCCATGGGGAGGCCTCTGCTGTGACGACGTAGGCCGTGACAACAAGTTTTGTCGCTGGTAGCAGTCCAGAAATTCAACGATTTCTGCAGCAGTGGACCTGGAGTAGCGGAAGGGGCTGTAGAACAGGCAGTTCGTGTATTTGCGGCATGTTGCGCAGCTCACAAAGAAATGTCCATTCCTGGCACCTATCTGGCACTGGCTTCGCCGCGCTTCACCAGAACCACAGTGAGAGCAGTATCTGGGCTTTTCACACAAGTCATCTGCCACAAGCTTCTCAAGACATTTCGCAGGGTCTTTCAGAAGGTGTCGAAGTGCATGATTCGACATCACCACGACGCACCCAGCAAGCCTGTTTCGCCTTCCGCGCACTGCCACTGTAGGACTGCGTAGCCTGTGCTTTCAGCTTGCCGTCCTTGCGCACACGCCGCAGCCGTCGCTCCTTCCCTGCTTTGCCAGCACGCTGTCCAAGCTTAGCTTTCAGATCACGGATGATCTGCCCAGCAATGCTCGGACACGTCTCCTGACGGTGTCCCGTCTGACCGCACAGCCGGCAAGCATGCTTCGCTTGAGGCATGACTTCCACTTGAACCGAAATAAGCCACGTTCCAGGGCGCTCGGCTCACAGCAACATGCGCATGCGGAAGTGACGTCCCGGCCGTGTGTTTCTCACATGCATGCAC